AATAATTAAATAGGGCGGAGGTAGTGTAGAGAGAAGTGCTGCCACATACTAAACGTGCGGTCTAGAAGTTGAACCTCGGATCGGCTCCCGCTCGATTGAACCGAGCTTACCATCCCGCCTGGACTCGCTAATTCGTACTAGGCCGTATGAGAAGGATGAATACACTCACTTGTACGTCCGCTGATCACCCCGTGTGAACATGAATGGAATACATACCTCCCGTAGAAAAGGGAACTTCAATGGCTTAAGCTTGATCCCTCACTCGATTGGAATCCGAGAACAGCTCATGACCGTTGACCATGTCGCCGTGTTCGTTGAAGAACGTTATAGTGCTGCGATGGTGGAAGTGTCTAAGCCGGAACCTACTTCTTCGGTGGAGCAGCAGGATCAAGCTTAAGCCATTGAAGTTCCCTTTTCTACGGGAGGTATGTATTCCATTCATGTTCACAAGGGGTGATCAGCGGACGTACAAGTGAGTGTATTCATCCTTCTCATACGGCCTAGTACGAATTAGCGAGTCCAGGCGGGATGGTAAGCTCGGTTCAATCGAGCGGGAGCCGATCCGAGGTTCAACTTCTAGACCGCACGTTTAGTATGTGGCAGCACTTCTCTCTACACTACCTCCGCCCTATTTAATTATTGGTATTATTGAGTTATTTTTTTACATTCTTGGACACCGCTCCTAATATGGCATAAAAGTTGGAATGATCGAATATGCCACTTCTTAGCCTGTCACAAGTTTTTTCGGCTATTATTCGACACCCCGCTTCCGCACCGACTGCGTTTGGTGCTCCAACGGAACCAATATGACTACATTCACTGAAGCCTTCACTGGCTATTGGCCCTTCTTTTTACTTTGGGAACTGCTTTTTCTTCCAGCGCGGCCAGAACTTCAAACAATAGATTTGGAACTATGTCGGGGATTGCTGATTTATCAATGACACGTGGTTTCGAAGTGGGATGCGACGCTAGCAGTCATTAGGTATACGGAAAACGATTGCCTACCCAGAGTAAACACATGAGAAAACAGCTTCTCAGCAATTAATATCGCTAAGAGGCGAGGTTTGGTTTTAGGCCGAGTGAGCGTGATGGCGTTGTCGTTCACACTAGTCACAAAAGACGGTTTCATGAGACGTGTCACTGTGGCTCCGAATGGAAGATGAATGAGTGGCGCACTCCATTGGGAAGTTCCCGAGAGCCTTTTGTTTCTATTTATCACAAAAAGGAGCGGTTTACTGGAACTTCCCAGCGACATTGTACCACTGCGTGGGAAGAGGAAATCGAGCTTTCAATGAAGATCTGCCCTTTCAAAGGTAAACGACTAGCGTTTGCAAAAATTTTCCCCGTTAATGTAATTTTCCTTATTAATTTCCCCCGTTTCTAACGCGGAGCCGCTTTAGCGCTTGTTGTACGGCCCATTTCTAGAAAGATCGAATCGTGCTTATCGCTTGACAAAAGACCGTTTGCGGATGATTTTATTCCTTTTTCCTGGAAGGATTGAAGTTCAGTGGTAGACTAGTGAGTCATGCAGCGCCCCATCCTCACAGCACGCGAGGCAACAGCGGAAATAGGACAGATACAGCCTGTAAGGAGAGAGGGAGGGGTGAGACAGTAAGGACGCCTTCTTAGAGATGGCCGTTTCGACTGCGCAACGATGCGATGCCTGTCCCCGAATGACCGATGTTCATGGCGTTCTAGAACACGTCGTCGAATCTGTTGACTATTCCGGGTGATCCTATAGTATGGCGCCAACGATTAACCGAAAGCTGAAATATTCACCAGCTTGGCTTATTACCTAAACAGACTGCAGCGGAGCTTAGAGCGATGATCGAATTCAAAAGCAAGTGACACGATAAATCCGCAAGGCGTACAGGATAAAGTACAGTCGGACTTTTTCCGGCTGCCCCTGAGCAGGCCTTGCAAGACGCTTTTTACAACGAAGGTACCCTTATAACGCCCTATCAAGCTGCGGTATGCCGACCCGGACACCCACCGCATCCGCCCGCCCACAGTTGGCCGTACAGTCCTGTCGGCGCTAGTGCTCTTGTAGCTTCATTTTACACTCGATATAAAGAGCTGCTACATGGATGTATGAATACATATGTGCAACCGTTTCTATCGAAAAAATCGTTGGCACAACACCAACGGAACCTCATATAGAACTGGTCAAATGCCGTGCAGAACAAAGGTTTTTCGGGGTTTTTAGCAGCTAAATTTCACTTTTTTCGTCATTTTTCCACTGTATAGCACCGCTGCTACTTTTTCTGGGGTAGCACCACATTATCATGCCACATTTCGGGTCACAATTATACCCATATTTCGGGTAGTAAATAAAATACTTCCCCCTAACAATATAGTCTGCTCCCCGTCTGGAAGTTATCAAGTCACAATTTGGTTCGTTCTTGTGAATAGAAAAATGGAGTGTGCAATATACGATTTTTTTTCAAATTTCAGCATTCAGCAAAACTATAAACTAACTTTAATGATACGTCTGAAGCACCGTAGTAATGGTATCCCGTAAGGAAATCTTCCAAATCCTGTAACGATAGGGCATTTTGCATATACTCCGAATTCTTAACATGTGGCAGATGTGGCTGCGCACTATCCTTTTAGTGGAACGGCTGCGCTTTATTGATATATAACTGTAATCATGTCTTTGCCCTGAACAGTACAGGATGGTGGTTGCCCCAAATCAGGAATTTCCCACGACTCTTTCCAAAGTGAGGTTTTTAGTTGCTGATACCGGCCATTTACATTTTTGCGTCACTCAAAGGCGAGGGTTTCGAGCTTTTCTTCTCCTAATACCATTTCAGAAATTTCTCCTAACAACATTTTTAGAAATAGGAAGTGTCACTGTG